TGACCAATCAGAATTACTACAGTATAGTGGTGTGTGGCTTGGCATAGCCTGCTGTACTATTGCCAACTTTTAGTCAAGATGGAGTATTGCTTCTCTTCTTTGTTGATAATTATATTGATTACAGCTACACTTTCAAATTGTGAAGGTATGGGGAATTTGTTTTGTAGCATTTCTATAATAACTATTATATCATCTCATAGTTTGCTCTAATACAATTATACCTCTGAAACAAAGCTACAATAATCTGACAACAGTGTTTCCTGGTGATTGTGTAATCTTACATTGTACACTAAATGATACAGTACAGTGGGAACTGAATGGAACTCATATTAGTAATGATACTCATTACAGTATCAATACTACTAGTGGTACACTGACTATACAAGAAGTGAGGAGCAATGATACTGGAAACTATACTTGTGGTTCAGGAAGCATTTCTCTAATAGCCCAAAGTAAAATAAAAATTGTACTCAATTTAAGTTCAATTAGTCCTTTTTAGTACCTGATATCATTGTTACTGGTCAATACACTAACCTCACTGTTGGTAGTAGTGTCAGTATTAACTGTACTACAATGCCCTCCATCCCTAACAGTGTAATAAAATGGTATTCATTATCATCATTCAATACTGATAGCAATGAACTGATCATTGATCCAGTGATGCTCTCTCATAATGACAACACATTCACTTGTGTGGTATCATCAAATTTACTGGCTATGAATCTGACAGAGTCTATCACTATTAGTGTATTAGGTTAGTTGATCATAGTACATTAGTTATTAATGTTTATTATAGATACCAATGTCTCATCTGTTACTGTACAATCATTATCATCTTATGTTATTGGTGATGATGTATCAATAGTGTGTACTATTAGTCTCGCTAATGCTATTGGTCCTGATGTTTCTTCACTTGTAGTGAACTGGTTTAAAAATAATGAAATGATAACAGATGATATCATTATTAATGGTTCATCATCAACATTTAATAGTACCCTGACATTAACACAGGTTTCACCAACTGATGCTGGAGTATATACTTGTAATGCATCAATCAATGGATCTGATAGTGTAATATCTGATTTGAAGCCTTTGTGTTTGAAAGGTATAGAATCTATTAAATACAAATTCAACATTATTCTGTATTGTAATGTCTTTACATACAGTTAATAAAACTCTATCATCAGTAACAGAAGAACTATCCCTTGGTCAAAATTATTCAATTGATTGTATCATTGGACCAGTACCTACTGGAGTATCAGTATCCTGGCTACTTACTAATGGTTCTATTTATAGTAACAATAATACACTAATGATACCATCAATACTACCATCACATAATAATACACAATATACTTGTACAATAATGATTGAGACTAATCCTCCTCACTGTAGTACTCAAGCACAGGTCATTACATTCATAGGGAAAGGTAAGAGTCCTTGAAATTATAATTATTATTAATTATATTTTATTATGTTGTAGCTGCTTATATCGATTCAGTGATTGTATTTCCCTCTTCAATAATCAGTTTTATTAACTCTTCAGTACTACTGACCTGTATTATCAGTTTTAATACTGAGATAGGTCCTGATACATCATTCGTTAGTCATTACTGGTATCAGTATAGCATTGATATTAGTAATAGGAGTACACCACTGATGATTAATGGTGACAGTAAGAGCCTAGTAACAACACTGAATATTACTAGTGTTCAACTCTCTGATGCTGGAGAATATCAGTGTAAAGCTAGTATTAATACTAGTAATACTGTTGTGAATAAAAGATCACATCTTTGTATTCAAGGTTAATTAATCTTTTTCAATAATCAAAATTAAATGTTTCCATTTACTATTTAGTTCCTGTTATAAATATTTCTTTTGATGCTGATTTAAGACTAGGAGATATTCGAGAGTATGATTGTACATTAGGTTATAATTATGGTAATTCAGAAGTTGTTGTAGCATGGCATGAACATACATCTGGTAAAGCGTTTACAAATCCTCTCATAGTAACAGTGGATCAGTCAATCAACAATACCTTGTATATATGTTCACTTATAGCTTACAGAAATCCATTTCATTGTCCTTTTCAACAAGCAAATCTATCAGTTACAGTGAAAGGTATATATTGTCATCAAATAATTTTTATATATTCATTAACTTTTTAATAGATACATTTATAAGGACAGTGGTGACTAATACTGGCTCGTTAATTTTAATAAACACTTTTCAACAATTGGATTGCCATATTACTATTAACACTGATATTAATACTACTAACACTGATATTAGTAGTATAGTCAATGTATCCTGGTATAGAGACAATGGTAATGAGAACAGACTAGTATCAGACAGTGAAGGAGTATCTATACTACCCATTGTGTCTGTTACTAATACATCATTTATTTGTACACTTACCTTTAGTCCAATAACATCATCAACTCCAGTATCAACACTTGGTATTTACACTTGTGTAGCATGGATAGGAGAACAATTTGATAGAAATAAAATATCAAATAATGTACAAGTTATGATGAAAAGTAAGTATTATATCAGTAACCAGTTTTTAAGCTGTTTTTATAGTCAATAATTCTAGAGATGTTGTTAGTATGTCTCTATTGAATGAATATACAGCTGGAGACAGTTTTAATGCAACTTGTATGATTACTGCTTATCAATTATCACCTCCTATTGCTACTAAGGGTACTATTGACATTCTATACAACAACAGCATCATTAAGTCAAGGGTATTTGATATTGGTCCCACTGATAGTCACAGGCCATTTTTAAACATCTTCTTCACTAATTTTAAATTATCACAATCAGGAGAATATACTTGTTCTTATATTCGTAGTAATAATAGTTCATTTGTTCAACTAAATGAATCAAAATCAGCTTCTTCTGAACTAAACATTAAAAGTATATGCTCACAGTTGTAATTATTGGTTTTTATTTGTTACTAGTTCCATTTAGCAGCATATCACTGGTTCAGAGCCCCAAAGAATCCTATTACAAAGTTAATAATAGTGTCATTCTTTCTTGCAAGGTAACAGAACCTGACTTAACACTGATCGATGTCAAAACTACTGCAATGATTAAATGGGATGGTATTAATATTTCCCAACAATACTTTATTCATCCATACAATAAATATTTCAATTATACTCTCACTAATATAAAGCTATCTGATGCTGGGGAATACAGTTGTACATATTATCTCAATAGTACCACTAATAATCCTTATATTATACCAAGTGATGTCAGGACAGGAGTCACTAATATAACAATTAAAAGTGAGTCTTTTCTCATATTTTTTATAAATACTTTTAATTTTTAGCTCCTAATGGTGTCAGTCCATTAATTACTCAGTTTAAGCCATATTATAGTGTTGGTGATAGCATTAGCCTCATTTGCTCTGTCATTTATCCAGACTCTCCTCTTATTGATATTGCTACTAATGTGAACATACAATGGCTCTTTTCCTCTAATCACACTCTACACTCATATACTGGTATCAATAATAATACTGAACACACTATCAGCTACACTATCAATAATGTGTCATTATCTGATGCTGGACAATATACCTGCCAGTACAATATATCAAGTACTAATCATTCCTTTGTCCTACCCAGTGATAATATGAGAACTTCAACTAATGTTTCCGTTAAAAGTAAATTATTCTATTTTATAGTTGTATATTTTCTGTTTCTTTTTAGTTCCTAATGACAAGGTTCCAGTAATTAATCTCATTCCTCATCAGTCTGTGTATGATGCTGGCAGTGACATTACCCTCTCATGTTCTGTCACTTATCCATACTCTTCCTACATTGATTTTAATACTAATTTGACTCTACAATGGTTCAATTCATCTAATCACACTCTTAACTCCAGTACCATTACCAATGATTATAATGGACACACTCTTACCTACACTATTAGTAATGCAAGACTATCTGATGCTGGACAATATACTTGCTCCTTCTTTATTAATACCAAGAGTACCCCTTATATAGTTACAAGCAATTCTACTGCAAATTTTATCACCATTAACATAACAAGTAAGTTTAATTGATATAGTTTCTGATATTTGAGTCTAACCTACAGTACCAAATGTCATCACTCCATATATACTGGTACATCCCTCCAAATCCTACTATAATGTTAATGATAACATTACTCTCTCTTGCACTATCCATTACCCTACTAATCACCTTATTGATGTTAATGCTACTGTGAACATACAATGGCTCAATTACAATTACAGTCTGGACTCATATAGATATGAACTCAATGACCACAGTGAATACTCTTTTAATTACACTATCAGCAGTCTAAAGCTACCTGATGCTGGACAGTATACTTGTTCCTTCTTTATTAATGCAACAATGAGCACTAGTATCACACGCAGTAGAACAAACTATAATTTCACAAGTATAATAGTTAAAAGTAAGTAAATTTTGCTTTCAAATGCTATTCACCATTTCATATTTGATTTTTAGTACCTAACGGTGAAGGGCCATCAGTTACTCAGTTAAAACCTTACTATAGAGTTGGTGACAACATTAATTTAATTTGTTCTGCCACTTATCCTTCTCATATTACTACTAATGTGAATATACAATGGCTCAATTCCTCTAATCACATTCTGCACTCATATACTGGTATCAATAATAATACTGAACACACTATCAGCTACACTATCAATAATGTGTCATTATCTGATGCTGGACAATATACTTGTCAGTACAGTATATCAAGTACTAATCATTCATTTGTTCTACCCAGTGATAATATGAGAACTTCAGTCAATGTTACTGTTAATGGTATAAGTTAGTTTGTTGATTCTTCAAAAATTATTTCTCTTGCTTATAGGTACTGTTAAACCACCTAAACTAATAGTAATCAGTTCATTTTCGCTAATCCTCAGTTGGAGTCCACCTACTACTCATCAATCCATTCCTATCATTGGTTACAATTACACATGTATTGGTATTAATGTATTATATACAATGACTGGTAGTGTATCTAATACTAGTCTCTCAGTTACACTATTAGGATTGATACCATTCAGAGAATACACTTGTAATGTTACTGCTATTACTAGATATGG